TGCTAGTTCGAATTAGCAAAACGCTAATTCGAACTATTTTTTAGTTCTAGACGCGTTAGTTCGAATTAGCTTAGTTCGAATTAACTAATTCGAACTAAGTTAGTTCGAATTAGCGCTGTAGTGTAGATGTACCCCTAGAGTGGCGCCAGTATATCGGCCCATATATATCCCTGCTGGACCCCTCACCCACTCAGTTCCTTCTTACTTCCATGACGGTTGTTGGAACAACCCTCAGCTCATCTTTGAGTCGTTCTCTTCACTGTTCTTCTCCTTCATTAGCAATCATCTGTTAATTTGGCCCATATATACCCCTGCTGGCCCCCTCACCCACTCAGTTCCTTCTTACCGCCATGACGGTCGTTGGAACAACCCTCAGCTCATCTTTGAGTCGTTCTCTTCACTGTTCTTCTCCTTCATTAGCAATCATCTGTTAATTACCTGTTAATTTAGTTAAAGACTTTCATTTGTAGTTTTCTTTTTACCCTGCTGCTGTGCGCCATGCGCCCGCAGCAGGGCATGCCTGGCCCGCAAGGCTTTAAGCCCTGCAAGAAGTGCAACAAGTCTATGCTATGTGGTGACCCACACTCATCGTGTTTGAAGAGCCTGGGAGAATCGCACATTACAGATGCGTGCAAGATTTGTAAGGTGTTTAAGCCCAGAACCAAACGAGAGCATGAGTTGTGACTCAAGGCACTCTTGATGGAGACGGCACTCTGGCTGGCACCGTCTTCAGCACCGGCACAGGACTCAGCACCGAGCTCCAACAGCTCACCGGCCTCGGTGCGTGACAGCTCCACACACCATGCCTCCTTGGTATCACACAGGGCCAGACGTTGCTCCCAGATGCCGGTACTTATATGGAAGAGGAGGCCTAATAGGGGTTGATCCCCACCCAGGCACGTGCCCTCTGTGTGCTCTACAGTGGGGCACATGGCGCCAGCCAGTCCAGAGCCTGGGCCTTCTAGGTTGGGTGACTATTCTTCCTACCGGAGGGATGTGAGTCCTTCAGAGGATCTCCTGGACCTGTCCACCCCGGAGGCCTTGGAGGCAGCAAGGGTCCTTATAGACTCCTCTCCCTCCCCTCTGCCAACTCTGGCACCCTCAAGACGGCATGGGGATGTCTGGTACCACTTCCCTCATAGGGTGCCTGGTGAAAAGGTGCATAAGGTGCGACAGAGCCATGTGATAGACATGGCACCTCCCCCGGCACTGGCTACTGTCACACCAGTGTTGTTGGCACGGGCACTGGCAACAGACCCAGC